TGGCAAAATATGTCCCGAGTACTGCAGGCGGGTCTCCCTGTAGAACTAATTGGCAAAATATGTCCCGAATACTGCATGCTTGTCTCCCTGTAGAAGAAAGTGGCAAAATATGTCCCCAGTACTGCAGGCGTGTCTCCCTGTAGAAGTAAGTGGCAAAATATGTCCCCAGTACTGCATGCTTGTCTCCCTGTAGAAGTAAGTGGCAAAATATGTCCCAAGTACTGCATGCTTGTAGCACTGTAGGAAGCCGTGGCAAAATATGTCCCCAGTACTGCAGGCGTGTCTCCCTGTAGAAGTAAGTGGCAAAATATGTCCCGACTACTGCATGCTTGTCTCACTGTAGAAGAAAGTGGCAAAATATGTCCCCAGTACTGCATGCTTGTCTCCCTTTAGAAGATAGTGGCAAAATATGTCACAAGTACTGCATGCTTGTATCACTGTGGGAAGCCGTGGCAAAATATGTCCCCAGTACTGCATGCTTGTCTCCCTGTAGAATTTAGTGGCAAAATATGTCCCCAGTACTGCATGCTTCTCTCCCTGTAGAAGTAAGTGGCAAAATATGTCCCCAGTACTGCATGCTTGTATCACTGTTGGAAGCCGTGGCAAAATATGTCCCCAGTACTGCAGGCGTGTCTCCCTGTAGAAGTAAGTGGCAAAATATGCCCCGAATACTGCATGCTTGTCTCCCTGTAGAAGAAAGTGGCAAAATATGTCCCCAGTACTGCATGCTTTTATCACTGTTGGAGGCCGTGGCAAAATATGTCCCCAGTACTGTATGCTTGTCTCACTGTGGAAAGCCATGGCAAAATATGTCCCCAGTACTGCAAGCTTGTCTCCCTGTAGAAGAAAGTGGCAAAATTTGTCACAAGTACTGCATGCTTGTATCACTGTGGGAGACCGTAGCAAAATATGTCCCAAGTACTGCAGGCGTGTCTCCCTGTAGAACTAATTGGCAAAATATGTCCCGAATACTGCATGCTTGTCTCCCTGTAGAAGAAAGTGGCAAAATATGTCCCCAGTACTGCAGGCGTGTCTCCCTGTAGAAGTAAGTGGCAAAATATGTCCCCAGTACTGCATGCTTGTCTCCCTGTAGAAGTAAGTGGCAAAATATGTCCCAAGTACTGCATGCTTGTAGCACTGTAGGAAGCCGTGGCAAAATATGTCCCCAGTACTGCAGGCGTGTCTCCCTGTAGAAGTAAGTGGCAAAATATGTCCCGACTACTGCATGCTTGTCTCACTGTAGAAGAAAGTGGCAAAATATGTCCCCAGTACTGCATGCTTGTCTCCCTTTAGAAGATAGTGGCAAAATATGTCACAAGTACTGCATGCTATTATCACTGTGGGAGGCCGTGGCAAAATATGTCCGAAGTACTGCATGCTTGTCTCACTGTGGGAAGGCGTGGCAAAATATGTCCCCAGTACTGCATGCTTGTCTACCTGTAGAAGAAAGTGGCAAAATATGTCACCAGTACTGCATGCTTGTATCACAGTGGGAAGCCGTGGCAAAATATGTCCCGAGTACTGCAGGCGGGTCTCCCTGTAGAACTAATTGGCAAAATATGTCCCGAATACTGCATGCTTGTCTCCCTGTAGAAGAAAGTGGCAAAATATGTCCCCAGTACTGCAGGCGTGTCTCCCTGTAGAAGTAAGTGGCAAAATATGTCCCCAGTACTGCATGCTTGTCTCCCTGTAGAAGTAAGTGGCAAAATATGTCCCAAGTACTGCATGCTTGTAGCACTGTAGGAAGCCGTGGCAAAATATGTCCCCAGTACTGCAGGCGTGTCTCCCTGTAGAAGTAAGTGGCAAAATATGTCCCGACTACTGCATGCTTGTCTCACTGTAGAAGAAAGTGGCAAAATATGTCCCCAGTACTGCATGCTTGTCTCCCTTTAGAAGATAGTGGCAAAATATGTCACAAGTACTGCATGCTTGTATCACTGTGGGAGGCCGTGGCAAAATATGTCCCCAGTACTGCATGCTTGTCTCCCTGTAGAAGTAAGTGGCAAAATATGTCCCCAGTACTGCATGCTTCTCTCCCTGTAGAAGTAAGTGGCAAAATATGTCCCCAGTACTGCATGCTTGTATCACTGTTGGAAGCCGTGGCAAAATATGTCCCCAGTACTGCAGGCGTGTCTCCCTGTAGAAGTAAGTGGCAAAATATGCCCCGAATACTGCATGCTTGTCTCCCTGTAGAAGAAAGTGGCAAAATATGTCCCCAGTACTGCATGCTTTTATCACTGTTGGAGGCCGTGGCAAAATATGTCCCCAGTACTGTATGCTTGTCTCACTGTGGAAAGCCATGGCAAAATATGTCCCCAGTACTGCAAGCTTGTCTCCCTGTAGAAGAAAGTGGCAAAATTTGTCACAAGTACTGCATGCTTGTATCACTGTGGGAGACCGTAGCAAAATATGTCCCAAGTACTGCAGGCGTGTCTCCCTGTAGAAGTAATTGGCAAAATATGTCCCCAGTACTGCATGCTTGTCTCCCTGTAGAAGTAATTTGCAAAATATGTCCCCAGTACTGCAGGCGTGTCTCCCTGTAGAAGTAATTGGCAAAATATGTCCCCAGTACTGCAGGCGTGTCTCCCTGTAGAAGTAAGTGGCAAAATATGTCCCGACTACTGCATGCTTGTCTCACTGTAGAAGAAAGTGGCAAAATATGTCCCCAGTACTGCAGGCGTGTCTCCCTGTAGAAGTAAGTGGCAAAATATGTCCCCATTAATGCAGGCGTGTCTCCCTGTAGAAGTAAGTGGCAAAATATGTCCCCAGTACTGCATGCTTGTCTCACTGTCAGAGTCAGGGGCAAAATATGTCTATAGTACAGCATGCTTGTCTCACCGTGGGAGGCCGTGGCAAAATATGTCACCAGTAATTCATGCTTGTCTCCCTGTAGAAGTAAGTGGCAAAAAAAAGTCACCAGTACTGCATGCTTGTCTCCCTGTAGAAGTAAGTGGCAAAATATGTCCCAAGTACTGCATGCTTGTCTCCCTGTCGGAGTCATTTGTGGTTATGCGGACGTCGCGGAGATCCGGGCTAGAATAAGTTTTCATCAACCCATGCCTGCCGTAAAAGGCGACTATGCTTGTCGTAAGAGGCAACTAACGGGATCGGGTGGTCAGGCTCGCTGACTTGGTTGATGCATGTCATTGTATCCCAATTGCGTGGATGGATGCTCATGGTGTCAATCACTGGACTGTCTGGCCCAGACTCGATTATTTACAGACCTATGTCATATAGCTGGAATATTGCTGAGTGCGGCGTTAAACAACAAACAAACCAACAAGCAAGCAATTTAATTGATTTTATTTCCAAGCATATTTAATAACTACAAGTATATTATAAAGCAAATAAATATTAAGATAAGCACTATGCACAAAATATTTTTTAATAATGCAGGACGTTTTGTAGACAAATTGCAAAACTTATGTTCGATCCATTTCCATCTTATAAATTGTAAACATTCAGAATCAGAAAGCGACAGTAAGCTTTTTCAGGACGTACATTAATAATAAAAAACCCACACCATGTTTGCATACAAAAGGAAAATACATAATCTATACTGTCTGTCTAATTGATCTATATAACATTGTTGGTGGAATCAGCACGCACCTTAAAAAGAGTTAAATTATATTACATGTTTAAAAAGAAACATTAAACGTTAAAAAGCATTTGTGATCAATACAACAATGAAAATATCAGATTTATAATAAAAGATAACTACATACATAAAAGCGACAAAACCATTTCCATATTCATAAGAAATCTTTGCTAGTAGCAGAGTCCAGTGTGTGATTCCGACTATATCATGAGCATGTTTTTACTTTTTTTTATGCAAACTGTGTGAGTGGCGGATGCTACCACTACGGCAGGATATGTTAACCCTTTTGAGCGAACATTGGGTGATTGAGTGTTGTTTTATGCCACTGTTAGCAATTTTCCAGCAAAACTAAACCGGGTGACACCAGAATTGGGCTTCACACGTTGTACTTAAGTTGATAATCCAACCTTGGCTTTTAGTTTTAACCACTTGACTACTAGGCTATCTATGTGACCCCGGCGTCTACCATTACGTCATCCAATAGAACGGTAAATTGTTTCACTTACTTTTTTAATACAAATTCTGTGAGTGTCGGGTGATATCGGTAGAGCAGGACAAGCTTACCTTTTTCGCGAACACATGGTGTCATTGATTTTCAGTGATCTATTCACATATTTTAATCGCCCCCATTATGCCTTTTGAAATCTGCGGATAATCGTGACTGATTATTCCCTGGCTTTGACTTTTATAGTTTATTAATCACTATCAAATAGTGCTGATACTAGGTGAACATATTCTGCCCCACCGATTGCACTCGTCACAAATACATGCACACGCAAGTCAATTGTTTATCTGATAAACAAAACAATACATGGAACATATGGTACAAGTCAATATAGTGACCGGACATCCTTGTGGTCATTGATGCGTCAAGTTTTGACATTTCTTCCGTCGAAAGACGCTTTCTGGGAGATTCGTAGAAAGAGCATGTTCTATTATACCTCAAAAAGGTGTGGAATGTAGACACCAAAGGCTGTAACTGATTGAATAGTGCTCGACATAAAGGGAATGTTAAATATTGGAAAGTTGAAGCCACCCCCAAACCCCCAACAACTTGTTTTTATACTCCGAGTGTTATCTATGTGCATGACATGGGAAATAACTTTGTTATAGCATCAGGATGGTTATCCAACTCTTTCGAAAGAACGTTTTAACGGGACTGTAAACAGACATCATCAGGATAATGTCCACAAAGTATTTAAGATAAAACCGGTTCTTATCATGAAGTGTCTTCCAGTTTGTATCCTATGACAATTAAAAGTTACGCGAATTTTCAAAAAGCTAAGATTTTAGAGTTACATTATCGTCATATTTGTTCGGCTTTGACAAGTTTTTGTATTCACAGTTCTATTTTAGTTTGTTACTTGCCTTTGACTCCAATTCATAATATTCCGTGGTAGAATTAGATCACATTACACTTCTGCTTGACGTAAGAGGCGAGTACATTTGGATAGAGTGGTCAGGTATTACTTATAACATCAATCATTCGTATTTCTGGTGTTTATTACATTAAGGAAAAACAACATGCAGTCACAGATAATTCGTATTACCCGAGTAAACAAGAAACAAAAACATTAAGATTTACTCAGGCGTGTAGGTATATGATGCCCTGAAAGCATAAAGTAGTTTCATGAAACAGCGGGAAAGCATTTGTTGCAAAAAGTGGCAGGTTAAATAGTTAAAACATCTCTAGGTTCTTCTTCACAGGATGCCTTCTCTTTTAAGTTCAGCTCGAATACCTGCGACGGCTTGTCTCTTTTTCTTATACCGATCCACAACGTGACCTTTGAAGTTTTTATTGTACTCTTTGTAGATGGGCTTCTCTGGTTTTGCCATACGACATATCTCTCTCCGTTGTTTTATACAATTCTCAGTGAATTGTTGGTACTTATCTCTGCTGTCTGTGTCCTCAGTAGTATCAAGGAAGTGACGGATGTTCAACTCTAGTTCCTGCCATCCGGCGCCTGTCTCGTTGAAGAGCTTCTGCTTCTCCTCAAACTTTTCATGAAGAAGCTTGCTGCCAACTTTGAAGGTGCCGCCTGTGCCAGTGATCATCCCTATGGTTATCTTAGATATAAAAGGGATCCATCCCTTCCCTCCAGGGATGTACTGGGATAAACCTCCTGCAGCCACGCCAAGTATTCCACTAGCTGCTATGAGCATCCAGAACGCCCAATTACCGTATTGGTCTGACTGGTCGTACATCATATAAGACCCTATCATGCTGCGAATTCTTAGCTCCATTAACAACTCTCTATATGCTTTAATGGCCCTCGTTGAACATTGAGCTTCAGTTTGAGTCTCAGCTGCCCTTTGAGCTTGACCTCTGGTTGTTGACATTTCGTTGGAGATAGGAAGTCTCTGTAAAGGATATTTAAAATATCAAATTTAATTAAAACTAACGACACCAACTTTCAACGTCAGTGAGAAAGTAAATCTTCAATGTATTATGTATTTCACTCTAAATATTTCGGTTAAAATAAAACTTTTCTACACTGTCTCAAGTTGTAAGATGTAATTTGTGCCTTGTGTCTACCTCTGTAAAATGAAGGTAATAGTTAACTGCTTGATTGGTATACAGTGAAACCCCGTTTATCCAGAACCCGTTTATTCGGAAACTGCGGTTTTGGGATGATAACTGCTGAGAGCGTATATCATTACTACATACCCCAGATGTATTAACCCGGAAACGTGTTAGTCCGGACGATTTCACCGGGAAGGTAACATCCTGATTAACAAGGTTTCACTTTACATCATAAAGTTTGATTGCGCACAAATGGTAATTGGGTTATATATGACATCATATCAATCACTGGATTGTCTGGTCCATACTCGGTACAGGTCATCGTCATTAGATGGAATATTTGCTCAGAGCAGTGTTGAACATGTTGAACAAGCAGCAAACATGGATGTAAAAAGTAATTAGGTATACATTATAACATTATGGATAGTATAATCAACGCCGAATGCTTTGGGATAATAAGGGGGCACGGGTGGCAGAGTTGCGTCCCTTGGGCTCGCCAGAAACCTATGATTGTGGCTTCGAATCCCGGGTCGCCCAGATTATGTTGTCAGCACCTTACCAGTTCTCTTGGGTTTCACCAAAGTGGTAAACGTCTGAAGCCTGCATTCACTTCGGGCTTTCTGCCACATTAATTGGATACGCTGTGTTGTAATTGGAATACTCTTCAAAGCGGCGTGTAACCAAACTCATTCAGTTGTTTATTTGTTCATAACACTAGAGGTTTCATGTCACACAAGATAAGCGCAAACACAGATCGAATTAACAAGAGGACAACATATTGATGTCCATGAAACATGAAGTCATCATGACAGTGTCCACACATGTCCTCTCTCAACGTCATCTCAGACTGAAAGGGGCATGGGGCAATTGTCAGTTCACAAGTCAGTATCGGGTGTGACTACCATCAGCATTGACAGCGGCGGTACTATTCGTGTTTGGCACGGTTGCCGGACACAAATACAGTGACATTTAATCGTAGGCACAATGATAATTTCAGCGATCAACTTTTAGGTCCTACTTGGCACAACGGTTACCAAAGAGTTCTACATACAAGTGAGTGGGTGAGTATGGTTTTACGCCGCTTTTAGCAATATTCCAGAATATCACGACGGGGGACACCAGAAATGGGTTTCACACATTGTACCCATGTTGAGAATCGCACCCGGGTCTTCGTCGTGACGAGCGAACACTTTAACCACTAGGCTACCCGACCGCCCTCTACATACAAATGCAGTTAAGTTTTGGATATCTAATCACAGGTACAATGACCATCTTATCCTTCAGCGCTCAATTCTTTCAGGATATACAAACCTATCATACTTAGACGCGGCGACACGGTAGCTTTATCGTCGCATTTGAAACGTTTACTGGCTTCGAAACCCGTGGGGATTCCGGGCTAGAATTGATCCCCAGCAACCTTTGCTTGTCGAAACAGGCGACTTATAAAAACGCGTGGCCAGGGCTTGGTGACTTGGTAGATAACACATCGTGTCATCGTACCCCGTGCATGTGACAACCCGTTTCAACATGCATTGAATTCTTGCATAATCCGATGTAACTTGATAATAATAATAGCATTTATTGTTAAATCATGTGAAAATACTATTTAACTCTGTCAATGCCGAACTAAATATATGCCACTGAATAACTTCATTACTGAATAATATCATTACTACTATATATATTATTTAAATGTCAACCAATCTAAACCTGATTATTCTTTCGGGGTATATTGGTGTGGGTTGGTGATGTAGATGAGGAGACGTAAGTAAACGATTGACTCAAGGAAATGTATACCTCCATCCCCTACCAAATACCATGATAAACTGCGATATTGGGAATAAACTCGACATTCACAAATGAATTTGTCATTTTGCAATGAAGTTGTTAGACGTCCTTAGTATTTATATGCGCATGTCATTGATAACTTGTTCACAGTCACTGCAAGTATCTTGTTTGATCAAGGTTCGACATTTAAGGCCTTAGTAAAGCCTTCAAAAGGTTTTTATGATAGACATGTGGAGGACATTTCCAAATTTTACGCATCAGTGACAAAAATGATGTCCGATGCTATTCTCTATTTTGACTTGAACCATATGTCCCGTGGTTTTTTTTTAGGTGAACAATTGACTTGCCTTTGCGTGTGTTTGTGACTGGTGCCACTGATGGGGCAGGTTACGCCCACCTTGTATCATCACTATTTGATAGTATTATGATAGTGTTTCATAACACATGCTCATGACATAGCCAGAATCGTACTATCCATCTCTATTGTATATGGAAAGGGTTTTGTCGCCGATAATGACCTTACATGATCATGGAGACTCATTAATTCTTATTTGAGTTCACTCTCCAATTATATCCACTGTGTGAGCTATTGACATGCCCCTGTGCTTAATAATAACCTTTAATACCTTACCTTATAAGATACGATAATACGGTCTTCATTTGGACGGTAATGTACTTATTAACAGGGTCCTGAGATCTAGATTAGTTCTTATCTAATCACGTTATCATCATGATAAATCAGTGTCACCGTTGTCGTTTTCCTGGAGATATTTGTGAATTTCCTTTCATAAATTCAGGATTTGATTTGTAATAGTGTCTCGGATGAAATGAATTTAGGTCCTAGTTTGAGCTCCAATGCTTGTTTTTAGACTAAAAGTTGATCGGGTGGTCACAATGGCTATTCACTGGGAGAATATTAACTGAATGGACGAAGAACGTCAGACTGATTAGACTCTGACGTGTGACCAACCTGTGGATCGGATGGCCGTAGGTTGAAATCACAGTTTCGCCCCGATTATGTATCTAGGTTTGCCCCTACTATTAAAACGTTTTGTTATGAAGGTTCTCTATTCAGGTTGTCTGCCATTAGCTATTCCTGTTTGTCACCAAAGCAACGACCCACGATTACCAGATAGTTTTACATACAGTGCACGTTGCTGAATGCGGAGTTAAACAAAACACAGAAACACACAGTCACACACACAAGGATACACATACCCTACACTGACAGAAATATACACAGACATACATGGACACACACCGACAGACAGACAGACACACACACATACCCTACACTGACAGAAATACACACAGACACACATGGACACACACCGACAGACACACACATGCACACACACACCCTGACAGCCACACACAAACACATTCACACACATACCCTACACTGACAGAATCACACGAATACACACACACAAACACTGACACACAGACACACTCATACACACACACACTGACAGACACACTCACATAAACATTGACAGACACACTCACACACATACACACCGACAGACACACACAGACACTCTGACAGACACACACAGACACTGACAGTCAAACACAGACTCTCTGACAGACACACACAGACACTCTGACAGACGCACTCACACACACACACAGACGGACACTGACAGACGCACTCACACACAGACACCCACAGACACTCTGACAGGCACACTCACACACTGACGGACACACACAGACACTCTGACAGACACACTCACATAAACATTGACAGACACACACAGACACTCTGACAGACACACTCACACACTGACAGACACACACAGACACTCTGACAGACACACTCACACACTGATAGATACACACAGACGCTCTGACAGACACACTCACACACTGACAGACACACACAGACACTCTGACAGACACACTCACAAACTGACGGACACACACAGACGCTCTGACAGACACACTCACACACTGACAGACACACACAGGCACTCTGACAGACACACTCAAACACTGACAGACACATACAGACACTCTAACAGACACACTCACACACTGACAGACACACACACAGACACTCTGACAGACACACTCAAATCGTAGTTTAGTTACCTCAAATATAATATAATATTATGAACTTTGATATATACACTTTTTGTATCTGACTTACCTACAGGTTTGGGATACAATGCTTCTGCTTCGGAAAATTTGTCTGGACTGTACTGGTGTGCAGATTACATCATTATAGCATGTTACGACATGACATGATCTGTTTATAATATACGTTCAGTCTTGTCTTAATGTCACCATATGTTGGGGGTTGGGGGAGTGGGGTGGGGGTGCGGGGGGGGGGGGGGTGACAATGCGTTAACTGTCAATTTGGACACGTTATTTACAGCCTGGTTACACGGATATACACAGTTCATGAATGCATGTTACTTTCTGGTTCTGGGTCTGACATGTAAGTTTGTAATCAACAGGGGTATACTCTACATTTTATCGTACCTATTTACAATGCTAGCATTTTACTGCACCTGGCTCTACCAGTGCAACTAAATCTACCTAACACTAACTCCCGCGACAGCCTTCATTGATTTTGTTTCAACGGTTTGACGTGTACTCATTGTATTGTAAGTTTTGACCCCGATAAAACGGATACCGGGCTATTACGGAGAATAGTGTGTACATTAGGAGTGAAGCCCTATTATTTAAAACCAAGTGATATTCAACGAATCATTGCTGTTGAGAACTGTTCTCTTGCACATGTAAATGCATACATATGTTGACGCCTCAAACAGTAGTCGCTCCGAAGACGGTGCTTCTGGGTTAAAGAGGTTTCACAGAATAAAAAGACACATTTTCCATAAAATGAGGTGAAATGGGGTGTAACGTCGCGTCCAAGATTATTGCACTTATATAGCGGCGAGCATACATGTGTCGGTGCCTGCTTGTAATAGTCCGGACGATTTTATAGTGCTATCCTACTGAGAAGTCATGTTGCAGTTTATCATGAATAAACTCTGACGTGTTACTTACCTGTGTATCGGTTGGTCACAATGACTGTTGATGATAGGATATTATAATTAGCAAAATAGATGAACAACGGAGAGGATCAACACTGACGTGTTACTTACCTGTGTAGCTGTTGGTCACAATGACTGTTGATGATAGTATATCAGCAAAATGGATGAACAACGGAGAGGATCAACTCTGACGTGTTACTTACCTATGTATCGGTTGGTCACAATGACAGTTGATGATGGAATATCAACAAAATGGATGAACAACGGAGAGGATCAACTCTGACGTGTTACATACCTGTGTATCAGTTGGTCACACTGACAGTTGATGATAGGATATCAGCAAAATGGATGAACAACGGAGAGGATAAACTCTGACGTGTTACTTACCTGTGTATCAGTTGGTCACAATGACTGTTGATGATAGGATATTAGCAAAATGGATGAAAAACGTAGAGGATCAACTCTGATGTGTTACTTACCTGTGTATCGGTTGGTCACAATGACTGTTGATGATAGGATATTAGCAAAATAGATGAACGACGGAGAGGATCAACTCTGACGTGTTACTTACCTGTGTATCAGTTGGTAACAATGACTGTTGATGATAGGATATCAGCAAAATAGATGAACAACGGAGAGGATCAACTCTGACGTGTTACTTACCTGTGTATCGGTTGGTCACAATGACTGTTGATGATAGGATATTAACAAAATGGATGAACAACGGAGAGGATCAACTCTGACGTGTTACTTACCTGTGTATCGGTTGGTCACAATGACTGTTGATGATAGGATATTATAATTAGCAAAATAGATGAACAACGGAGAGGATCAACACTGACGTGTTACTTACCTGTGTAGCAGTTGGTCACAATGACTGTTGATGATAGTATATCAGCAAAATGGATGAACAACGGAGAGGATCAACTCTTACGTGTTACTTACCTATGTATCGGTTGGTCACAATGACAGTTGATGATAGAATATCAACAAAATGGATGAACAACGGAGAGGATCAACTCTGACGTGTTACATACCTGTGTATCAGTTGGTCACAATGACAGTTGATGATAGGATATCAGCAAAACGGATGAACAACGGAGAGGATCAACTCTGGCGTATTACTTACCTGTGTATCAGTTGGTCACAACGACAGCTGATGATAGGATATCAGCAAAACGGATGAACAACGGAGAGGATTAACTCTGACGTGTTACTTACCTGTGTATCGGTTGGTCACAATGACTGTTGATGATAGAATATGAGCAAAATGGTTGAACAACGTAGAGGATCAACTCTGATGTGTTACTTACCTGTGTATCGGTTGGTCACAATTACTGTTGATGATAGGATATCAGCAAAATAGATGAACAACGGAGAGGATCAACTCTGACGTGTTACTTACCTGTGTATCGGTTGGTCACAATGACCGTTGATGATAGGATATTAGCAAAATGGATGAACAACGGAGAGGATCAACTCTGACGTGTTACTTACCTGTGTATCGGTTGGTCACAATGACTGTTGATGATAGGATATTAGTAAAATGGATGAACAACGGAGAGGATCAACTCTGACGTGTTACTTACCTGTGTATCGGTTGGTAACAATGACTGTTGATGATAGAATATGAGCAAAATGGTTGAACAACGGAGAGGATCAACTCTGATGTGTTACTTACCTATGTATCGGTTGGTCACAATGACTGTTGATGATAGGATATCAGCAACATGGATGAACAACGGAGAAGATCAACTCTGACGTGTTACTTACCCGTGTATCAGTTGGTTACAATGACAGTTGATGATAGGATTAAAATATAAGAAAAAGGAGCAAAGAGACTCTCTTCATTTTCAGACTTGCAAAATATCATAGGCTTGCATGGGCTGTATTGGATATATTTTTTCAGGAGCAAACAAATACTAGCTGCAGAAAAAGAAACGCATTGACTATTCCTATATCACAACAAGGTCTATCATCTGGCTGTGTCATACCCAAAGACGTTGAAAGATGGTACTTGTTGTTACCCTGTCTGGCGCTCGGCATTAAGGGGCTAAAACAAGGACTGGTCGGCTCGGAGTCAGTATACTGTGTCTGAGTGGGGTATACATGTTAAACTGCGGCATGGTATCTCAGTGAGCTAGCACTATAAACGGCATCAATCCGGACTAGTAGATGCATGTGAGTGGAGTTGCAAAGATCGACTCAAGGAATGTGTACCGACATGCGATATGCGTTAATCAGGAGGGACGGGGATTGTTCATACATACATGTATGCTTCCTTGTAGCACACAGATCATACGGATTATACATTCGGAAAACTTGTTAAGTAGTTAATACTAAATGTAACAACAATAAGACGAACTCAATTATTTATTTATCATTTAACGATTATTGAACACGTATTGATAAACAAGCTGACGGTCGTCAATTATTTACTCTGTGTTTGAGTTAACTCGGTCCCACGTGTACTGCGTATGTGTGACGAATTTCGTATTTATGTAAATTTATGCAAGCAATGACCGATATTCCCCTTAACAATAAAATGGCAAGCTAATGTTTTGTGGGTGTCTGCCTGGGGCTATTCCTGTTTGTCACGAAAGCAACACGGTTGCCAGAGAGTTCTACACACAAATGCAGTGGAATGTTTGGATATTCATTTGAAGGTACAATGACCATTTCAGCTTTTAAGACTTTCAGAACATTCAAACCAACACACTCAGCTTTCAATTGTCAAAGCATTTTCAACGTTTTTTGACTTTGAAGCCTACCTGGATTATGTGTTAGAAGTGGTCCCCAGCAATCTATACAGGCGACCTCGGTGACATGGTTCATAACACCGAACGGCATGAAACGTTGATTATGACAAACATACTAATCATTGGATTGTCGGTTAAATAGTAAAGGTTAAGGTACGAGGATGAGATCGGATGCGTGTAGAAAGACCGCGGATGTGTTGGGTAGGACAGATAAACCTCGGGGTTCGTCTGTCGCAAAGATAATCTCAACAGCAAGATTTAAAAAAATCTAACCCATTACTAGAAATAAACTCGGCTTACAATGATGATGCGTTTAGTTACATGTCACTTTATATTTGTAATGAATTAATCTCTAAAATACCGGGGGTAGTGTTTTATCTGGCTTATTAGCCGTCTAAATGCAAGAAATAACAGAAAAATAAGAAAACATCGAGAAAAACTTATAGTGAAACAATACAGTGTGTCGCGATGAAAAGGGAATGAGATCAAAGCGCGCGAGAGAAAAAAACCAAGTGCAGCAATAACTAAGTCTCATCAAATGCCTTGGTTGCTGAGTGGGAAAACAGTGGGTTTCAAAACTTAACACTATATGTGAGGTTGCAGGTTCGATTCCATGATGAAAAGGTTTCATTTCCTATCTCCGATTTTAGAACATTGTACGTTTGAAACACGAGTCCAAATTTCATCTGTTTCCCAACTCATCAGATCTTTCTTCTTAAACGTAAAATCTTATACCCGGGCGTAAAAAAGCAAGTATGTTTGATTGGTTTAAATGCAGTTGGGATAGGTCTTTCAGTAACTCCAAATGACCTCATATGTGGTCTCTAAATTCCAGATAGACCTAATGATCTCAAACTTGATATCGCCGAGGTATTACTTACAGGTTATTGTATTGTGCTTAACAATAGGATGACGTCATTAGAGGTTTATAAGCTTGAATATTGCTGAGTACGGCGTTAAACGTACACACGTGCACATACACACACATCTTCCCGAGGCAAGGGAGTTAACTGACTATAAAAGTCCAGTTTCCATCCTTGCCGAACTAGGCTAGTATTATGGAGTTACATTTTGGCTGGACTAACGAGTCTATGCATAGTCAAATTAAAATCGCGCACCGAAATCGAAATCCGGTTTGTACACTGTCGTACAGATTTCGATTGCAGGATTTGCAAAGCATGTTCACTGCCAACTCGTTGTCAGCAGATATTTTCCAAATGTTTTCATGTTTTTAATCAAGGTGATCACGTGATTTGATGCATTTCGCGATGTCAGACCCGATTTATCAGAAAATAGATCTTGATTGTCGATCAGATCTAACTGACCGGGCGCCACCATTTTGTGTGAAGCAAACGCAAGTGATACGAGAGGTGAAATCAGATTGGTCCATAGAAGAGGCTTAGAAGGGACATGACTGGTAATAGCCACTGGTGGCGCTACGATCGAGCCCA